AAAGCTCATCAAAGACTAGTTCTGCTGATATTTTTAACACTGTCAAAGAGATAACATAATGAAAGAGAGAGGAAGGAAGTGGGTTTTTAAAGCACCAAGCCTTTTATGTTCCTTCTTATGAGCACACGAGACTCACAGAGCACGTGAAATTAATCTTAATCGATTCCACTTATAAAGCAGAGACAAGGGTGCGATCTCACCATGTGTCTTGTGAGGACAATTTAGAAACCTGGAGACTTGAAGTTCATATGCATGTTTAAAAATGGACTGTTTCGCAATCATTTTTATTTGTTATGGATCAACTAGATTTACACAAATATCTGGTAAATCATTTATACAGCCTTGTTTAAATTCATTCTGCTTGTGATTCAAGAATGAGTCCCAATATACGATTTGAACTAAATCATATTTATAATTCAGTGTTTCAAGGTTAAAATATTTGCTAAGTATCTGAGAGGAGGCTTAGAGATAAACCTTTGCATTTAAATAAAGTGGGTGTCCATGTAATTATTTCTGGTGTGCTTATATCAGGGGAACTACAATGTAATTAGTCATTTGACACACTTTTTTATTCTAAAGCAACAGTGCATTCAGAGTAGAAATGCTAGCATGGTCGCAAGAAAGATTTCATTTTTGTAAAGACAATATGTTAGTAAAATAATAAGCTAGAACTAGGTAAAATATGCTAATAGCAATGGATTCGTTAGGGTTAGAAAAAATTATGTTCGCTAATTAGTCCATAGAATTTAATAGTATACAGTATAGTGGCCCTCCAGGACCGAGTTTGGACACCCCTGAACTAAATAGTTCCAGAGCTAACACTTTATGGTAGTTATTAACCCTTCCCAACAGGGGGAGCACTTCTGCTTTACTCTGATTGTATACCCTGCTAATAATGTCATGTTGTGTGGGACAGCTTTCACCTCCAGTGCCCAGGTCAGTCATCATCAAGCTCACTAGCAGTAGATTCAGGATCACAGAGAGGATGAACTATTCTGAAGGAAACAGCGTGTATCAGTGTGCATGTATATGTAGCTTCAAAATCACACACCAACACACACACTAAATTCAGGCACAGTCACTGTCAGCTGCCTCTAAATTAGGCAATTCCGTTCCACTGCCCAATTGCCCAGCAGCTAAGAAAAACCGAGAAAAGAGAAAGAAGAGTTTCTTGGTTTAAAAAAAAGGGCACATGCTCACAGTCCTCGAAGTCTTTCTTAGTATAGTTTTGAATATTTACACTATGTCTGGTCCACTTCATGACTTATTTTGATCAAGAATTGCTAGCCTAGCCTGGAAGAAACCATCTGATCGTCTGTACAGCAACCAACCCTAGTTCATTTTCTCTCTTCAGTACAGTTTAGTTGTAAGTAAATCTGAAACATATAATACCAGAGTACTGCACAATTACAAAGCAGCAAGAAATGGACAAGCAGAAAATTGATGTTTTTTTTGGCTACAAAGTAAACAATGTAAAAAATAATTGACTAATATGCACTGACTGTATCACAGATTATTACTAAGAACCAGTATATACTTTAAACCTTGTATACTTTGGCAAACCCAGCAACTTCCTGAATCAAGCATTGATTTTCACAGTCTGGTATCTTGCAAACACAAATTTATCCTTGTCTAAACACCACAAAAGGATTATAAGATGCACATTATTGCCATTTAACTTCAATAAAAACATGCTACCAGGTGATTCAATAAAGAGTCTCTCTCATTTAAAGTCTCAAACTCCTGTTGGCGTTGAATTAAATGACTATATTCAATCCAAAGCATCTGTGGGAAGAGTCTATTTTAGATACAGTCCACTGGGTGAGTTTTTATCTGCCATCGCTCTGTCTCTGCCTGGCTTTGCTCATGACAGGTGAGCTAATTACCCTTCCAAGGTTATTTGGCTACATCAACACTTTTAGTTCAAGCTATTCGGCTCCAGCTGTTCAGATAAATAGTTAGAAATCACAACTGAAATCAGTCCACATCTATAAGCTTCAAGATCATGGCTGCTGGTAAACATTTTTTTTCCCAGCAGATGAACAGTAAAAACAATGACAGCCGATGAGAAACAACCAAACTTGAGCATTTTAAGCGGCAAATGGCATAACTGCAGCGCACTTACAATAAACAATGTTATTGCGTGCTAATATAGTTAACATTATAGTTATTTTCTTGTTAGTGTAACCCCTTCGATTCTGCTCCACGAGCGGGATTTGAATCTGCGTTTCCGGCATGGGAGGCAGGCACGTTAACAAGGATGTTAAACACTGTAGCCCCTAGCATCAGTCTCTAGTGCACTTCTTGAGATCAGGGGAGTGAGGTTTACCTGCACAGCACTTACTAGCTGGTCCCCGTTACATGAACAGACCGCCTGAAGGTCTGGACTCCATAGCTGCTTCATCGGTCCATGAAGCCGTCTGACTGACACATAAAGCAACCAATCACTTTTTGTTTGTTGTAGTGTACTGTTTAGAGGAGTGAAAATGTAAAGTCGATGTCCCTGTGATAACAGACCGGCATGCATCTAATACATTATTCATTCAAGAACGCTGTGCAAGTGAAGTGCTGTGGGGGTGCTGTGAACTTCTCATATTTTAGAAAATCCAGCATTTAGTTGATTCTGATGTGCTCATTGTCGCAGTTGTAAACATGATGGTTTTCTTCTTCCATTAGGGGTTTGCGTCACAACGAGTTTGTTTCCAGATGGACTGTCAAAGAACGTGACAAACACATCTCCAGGAAATCCTGTAGAATTCAACCAATCAGGTGACGACTTCAAAACTCCCTGTGTCCCATTTTATGTGTCATGCATCAGACATTCAGCCAATGGTCTGTGGGCGTGAATGTCCATTGACAGCTTTTCAAAAGTTGCCAAGAAGAGTTGAATTGTGATAAAATACAAATTTTCACATGCAACATATAAATAAAAATGTTTACATTTTATTATATTATAGTATATGTTTTGCCACTGGCCATGCAACTCTGCACTCTCTCATGGACAGCTTTCTCTTGGTATTATAGACCTGCTTGGCCAAGAGGAATCAGTCTTAAAACATGCTTTGAATATCTTCAAATGAATTGTTTGTTGAAAGCAAAGCACGTTGTGCATTTCCATGTTATGATTCTGACCTAATTGTGCAGTTTTATAATATGACTCCGACATCTGCTTACTCACAGCTGATGTATCTGGATTTGGTAAGACACACAAGGTCCAGATGAGCGTGCGTGTGTTTCTTCATCATGATCTGACTCAGCAATCCTATAAACAATGTTATTGCGTGCTAATATAGTTAACATTATAGTTATTTTCTTGTTAGTGTAACCCCTTCGATTCTGCTCCACGAGCGGGATTTGAATCTGCGTTTCCGGCATGGGAGGCAGGCACGTTAACAAGGATGTTAAACACCGTAGCCCCTAGCATCAGTCACTAGCGCACTTCTTGAGATCAGGGGAGTGAGGTTTACCTGCACAGCACTTACTAGCTGGCCCCCGTTACATGAACAGACTGCCTGAAGGTCTGGACTCCATAGCTGCTTCATCGGTCCATGAAGCCGTCTGACTGACACATAAAGCAACCAATCACTTTTTGTTTGTTGTAGTGTACTGTTTAGAGGAGTGAAAATGTAAAGTCGATGTCCCTGTGATAACAGACCGGCATGCATCTAATACATTATTCATTCAAGAACGCTGTGCAAGTGAAGTGCTGTGGGGGTGCTGTGAACTTCTCATATTTTAGAAAATCCAGCATTTAGTTGATTCTGATGTGCTCATTGTCGCAGTTGTAAACATGATGGTTTTCTTCTTCCATTAGAGGTTTGCGTCACAACGAGTTTGTTTCCAGATGGACGGTCAAAGAACGTGACAAACACATCTCCAGGAAATCCTGTAGAATTCAACCAATCAGGTGACGACTTCAAAACTCCCTAAGTGTGTCCCATTTTATGTGTCATGCATCAGACATTCAGCCAATGGTCTGTGGGCGTGAATGTCCATTGACAGCTTTTCAAAAGTTGCCAAGAAGAGTTGAATTGTGATAAAATACAAATTTTCACATGCAACATATAAATAAAAATGTTTATTTTATTATATTATAGTATATGTTTTGCCACTGGCCATGCAACTCTGCACTCTCTCATGGACAGCTTTCTCTTGGTATTATAGACCTGCTTGGCCAAGAGGAATCAGTCTTAAAACATGCTTTGAATATCTTCAAATGAATTGTTTGTTGAAAGCAAAGCACGTTGTGCATTTCCATGTTATGATTCTGACCTAATTGTGCAGTTTTATAATATGACTCCGACATCTGCTTACTCACAGCTGATGTATCTGGATTTGGTAAGACACACAAGGTCCAGATGAGCGTGCGTGTGTTTCTTCATCATGATCTGACTCAGCAATCCTCTTTAGGTGAAGCAGAGCACTGCTAATTCATTTTAGAGGATGAAGCTAGCTTTAATCTAATCATTGCATAAAACAGTTCTGCCATATATACATGAATTACTCACCTTAGCAAAGATGCTACACTCTGCCTCTGCAAACAGAGAAATGTCAACAAGTAGGAACTGGGTTCTGGAGGGTAGGTAATAAAACTGACATAAATGTTATCCATACCTTTAAGAGACAAGCAAGGAAAGGTTTTCTCCCTCACTTTGAAAGAACAGCCTCAAGGTAGCTGTAGTTCACCCACCTGCTGTGCTGAACTAATAAAATGCATGAAAGTGACTCTAAAATGTTGCCTGGGAGATGTGTTCAGCTGCAGTGAAACGCAGGTCGTGCTCTCTAAAGGACAAGAATGAACAAACTGACAGAATCAGTTTCCATGAAATCACATGCCATTTTTTTCACATAACTGAAATGCTATATATACATATATATATATATATATATATGTACATTATAGCTATATATAAAACAGAGTCAAGTGCTTCATCTCATTACTCTCCCTTGTTCCCCATGTCCATGAATTTGCATGGGAAAGGGGCTAGTGTCGGTATACACTGGGTTCATTGACGTCAAAACGTCATTGGTATTTCAACAACTGTAACATATCCAAACTAAAATCCTTCTGATGTTTCATTTACTGTCAAAAAGTGTAGTGCTATATGCAGTCAACCTCCATTTTTTGGCTTGAAATAGAAAAGAGTACAAAGATAGTATTTTTACTGTGCATTGTGCGAGTTTTTTTTTCGGAAGTGAACGTTTCATAGCACTGTAATGATTTTGACAATGGGACAGTCAATAGTGCCTTAACAAGCTATCCAGCTAATAATCACTAAACAGAGGTATATCGGCACATGCTAGAACACCTACTTACCAAACTGTTTATTTTAAACAGTCTTTATTAAAGGACACTGGTCGGTTGAAAAAAAATAATTAATAAAGGTCAACTCAAATAAAGCTTCAACACAAAACCCCCACAGAGTATACAAAATAAAATATGGCATGATATGGTTTAAACATTGGCTTTTGTAGAGGTCTCGAAGAAACAACAAAACCAGACCCCCTCTACTGCTCGACAAAAAAAAACATTTTCAAGGTACAATTAGATTTCTTGCTTGACTTTGCCAGAGACTGAATACATTGCGATACTCATATTTCACCCAAATCCTTAGAAAACCCAATTAAAACGTAATAAATTAACACAAGGCACTTGGCGCTGACAGTCTCAATACTGTATGAGAGATAAGACAGTGGCTATATTGTGTATACAGGGCACATAGATAAACAGAAGAAACTGTCGTATGACAATGGGGCTCAATCCTGTTCCTAAAGATCAACCTACCTGCAAGGTTAAGTCCTAATTCATATAAAATATTCCTGAATCTTCTAATCAAGGTCGTTTGGTTTGATTTGAAAATTAGGTGCGACTCTAAACTCTAGAGGAAAGTATATCTTTAGAAGCAGGATTGAACGATCCATGTTCCCCATCCATAACTGATGGAAGTAATTTGTAAAAGGCAACTGAACAGTTAACTCAATAAAGGATATCCCAAAATTGCATAGAAAAGGTATATGGTGAAGTATATACATTGTGTAGAAGCAAACCAATTGGTCACCTATGATCGGACTAGTTTAATCCCCTGCCCCGTGTCTAGTATGCTGGGAGGGAACCAAGAAAGTTTCAGTCTCCTGACGCAGCGCAAACACGCACTACACAGCCACAGGAGGTTGAGTCCGCAGCACCAGTTCGCTACAGCCACCAATGGGTAAGTGGCCTTGGGGAAGTGCGTTTTCCAGTGCTTGGCCACATCGCTTCCAGTGGGCAGGTGGAGAGCGTAGTCACTCCAGGGTTTGGACACGCCGTATATTGCGGAGATGACCCGACCCCTCTCTGACCACTGCATGCCACTGTCAGGATCACAGTTGTATTTCACCCACTCAGCAGTGAAGTCTCCCAAACGAGGGGCTTCCTGGGCTTCGGCATCCTGGACAGGGCTCATCTTGGCTCCTTGTACTGCAACATACATCTTTTCCACCTTTTGTACCGCCTTCACCCACGGCTCAGAATTCTCAGTGTCCAGGACCAGGATGAGGCGGGAGGAGAAGCTGGTGTTCCGTTCCTTCCACATATCAAGGATCTGTTGCAGACGCAAGCAGTCGCCACCTGTGGACAAGAAAGGTTGTCAATCAGTGAAAAAGGTGGGTGCTTCTTTTCTTGACCAAGTGACCAGAATAAGCTGTACCAGACATTTGGTCGCTTACTATCAAGGGTTTGTTAACTCTAGACTAGTTCAAACAACAAGACTATTCAATCATCATTGCACCAGCTTGAATTCAGTAAAGAAATTCCCATTCAAAAATACAGAAAGTGCTGAGAATATGTGATGGACTGTTGCTGCAGGGGAAACGGAGAGAGATGGTGTGAGCAACACGGAAAAGGTGTAAAATATCTGATAGTTTGCCATGCTGCGGGTAAGACTGCGAATAACATTCGGCAAGTATCTCGTTCAAAAACTGAATGAGGATTCCTGGCTGTTTCTCACCCACCCTGGTCTGATCAAACAGTATGACAGAGATAAAATATGTGAAAAATAATGTGTTTTTCGAACAACCTAGTATGAGAGCCTGTTCTAGTACACCCCCCAAAACAAAATCAAGACTTTGTAAAAGTGCATAATAGGACCCCTTTAATGCTAACATGTGTTCATAAGATCCAATCCGGGGTGGTTTTCCACTCTTCTTTTTCTGGACACTTAGCAAAGGACTGATCAAGATGCGCATTCAAAATGAGCAAGAGTGAGGCAGCAGATCCCTTGATAGTGTAATCATGATTATTAATCATCTTCCTGATTTAGCTACTGCTACACATACAAAACAAGCCGTTTTAAATTACTTCATCATAGCGAAATCACAACCATGGCCAGTTTCAAAAATCAAAAGCTATTCAGTATTCAGCAACTTGACCTGACGTGCTGAACATCAACGTGAACTATGCTGTAGGGATGGGAAGATTTACCGATTCGCTCAGTGCATCGGCAAAAAAAATTAACAATGCATGCATCGGTTTAAAAGGTGTGTATCGGATACAAGTTGGCATTTGATCGTTTCTAACATATTTGCATTGGTAAAAAACTATTTATATATAATTACTAGTGGATGGCTACACTTTTATTGTTTAGAAAGTGACCAATATTTTATATGTAACGTTAGATCGATTTCTCCTCTCGAAACGGTTTCTCAAGCACGTTCTCTCATCACTGCTGCGCGTGAATATGACATATCACAACGACACTACAGAGACCTGAGGAAAAGCGGGGATTAAAGTCCAAAATCTGACTTGAAATAACCTAACAAATCAATCGGGGCTAAAGCAGTTCCATAAACGACAATGTAAATTGTCACAATCTCACTAATTTGTGGACGCTTAATCTTAAGCAGCCTTTAATGTCGATCATGGATCAAATCGATCCACCATGGCAAACAGCAAATATATTTGTGCTGTTTAATGCATTTGAGACGTGGTGTTTTCCTCAGTGCATAACTGACATGTCACAAGTATATTTTTCCTCTGTAAATGTTAGAAAGTTATGCAAATATATACATTTTGCTTGCTGTCAGGAGTGGGCGAGGCATACGCGAGTGAACGAGCGCTGCTGCGCACATGCACGCTAAACAGACGGTGAGCAATAATTCTAAGTCAAATATGCATTTTGCTAAAATATTCGTTGTTGGACATGGACTAAATGTGCCTTTTGTCAAATTTTAAACCTACATATAGGTGTATTCTTATGATAGCAGTAAATGTGAAGGGACTATTGTAATGCGTAAATAAAATGTAAGTTAATACAGTCCTAATAACTAAGCTTACTACTTAATTACTACTTAATAAGTGTGTTTCTTATAGCAGTTAAAATGTAGTTAACTTTTAGTTTAGTGGTTTTAATGCTTTAAAGAGCAATGTTAGATTGTAAAGTTCTAATGCTATCTGATCTAACTATAAAAGGTACAGCTGACATAAAACCAGAGAAAAAGGCTGCATGGCTATGATAGTATGTGAGAGAGTCAGTGGTAATATCATTACATTCCTATTGTTCAGTGTTAGAGGAGCTCAGCTTAGTCCGACAGTTTGCCTGCCCTGGACCAGGTTAGCTTTCCAGCATAAGTTGCCACAGTGACTGATTTTGATCTTTGTTAAATTTGTTTTATGGAACGAAATAATTTGACAGCGAGTCAGACTATAACTAAAATAAGCCTGGCCTATTTGGTAAACTTGTTTTATGAAACAGGCCTCGAGGCGTTAGAAGTCAGAAGACACATAAGTTAATTTATGATTTGCTGTCTGTCTGAACCAAAGAAATAAATGCGATCATATTTTTTCCATTGCATCGAATCGCATTGTGTTGAATCGGATCGAATCGAAATCGGATCGCACTGCATCGTAATGGGGTGAATTGTATCGCATCGCTAGCTACTTCATATGTATTTTCAATGTATCGTAGGCTATGCATCGAGATGCGTATCGCATCGGCCTCAGTTATGGAGATGCACATCCCTACTATGCTGGTAAATAAAGGCCAATTAAAATAGAAGTAATTTGCATAAACTGTCAAAATCTTAAAGGTAGAGTAGGAAAAACTGTTTAATTATAAGGGTCAAAGAAAGGATGGAAATAAGTCCTGTAAAACTGTTTTTAGTTAACAAAATATGATAACCATTATAAGTGGACATTAGGCCCACTTAAAACCAAATATTTAATATATAAATATACTTTTGCCGTGGGTACAGATATTTAGCTTATATGGATTTTCTATGAAACTGAATTGGGCTTGAAGTTCAGTCTTGCATTGCTGCTAATATTATTCCTGTATGATAAATTACAAATGTGTCTCAGTTGTAAGTCACTTTTAGCTTCTGCTAGATGAATACATGTAAATGCACGTGAACTGATTCTAAGAAATATGATTAATAAGAAAACTAGTTTCTCAGGTATTAATGTTTGTTTTATAAAACATAAAGGAGAAGCTTTCTGCAAGGTTATTGATTTCTATCAATGTACTTGTGAACATGCAAGTCAGAAAATGCCTTTGAATGCCATATCCCTGTTGGCAGTGTATATGTATGTGCAGTTACCTGCTGTAGCAAGTGGGAACTACCACTGCATACCCAACGCAGGTGCCTCCCAAGCAGTTGCCCAGTTCGTGGAAGAGTCCATGAGCCAGAGACTCCAGTGGCAGTACCACTAACAACACACTCATGAAGAGTCCATTAGAGGCCTGTGGAGAGGAACCCTAAGTGATCAACAACTCTGAAGTGGATTCAAAGGTACATCCAAACAAACACACTCGAACTTCATTTATAATATCAGTTTAAAAAGACTGATATTATACACATCTTGATGTATGCAAATGATCACAAAATCCCAATAAAAGAGGCTATGCTGGCAATAGCGTACTTGCATACTACTCTACGAGCAATTTAGATTAATTTCAACATAGATATTTGCTTAATTTGATCTTCATTTTTTAGTGTTCTAGATCCTGTAGCTCATGTTGCATGGCGCTAGCAACACTATGGTCAAAGTTTGAACTCTCAGGACGCTCACATACAGATAAAATACATAACTTGAATGCAAAGTCATTTTGGATAGAAGACTGCAGAATAATTTGACTATCAGCCACCATTTTTCCATCTGTTTCTTGACTCATTTGATCTGTTTGCCAGATGCCACATGCTAAATTAAACATGCTATATGAGGATGTCACGTGAATCTAAATTTAAATTCTACATTTTTCTGTTGTATGCTACATACATACAATTTGCTTAAAAAATAGTGCACAATCTGCAGTCTTCAGTGAGTAGTATGCTAGTATTCCTTTTGTTCTCAGGCCTGTTCATTTTAATCAAGTGTACTACAGCCTGAATATACCTCTGACTCACCTGCATACTGTTTGCCTTGGCAAAATCATTTTAAAAATGAAACACTGCATTTGTTTTACACGCGGAATAACATTAGCAAAGTTGGAAGTGCTTCTAATGACTCATTGCAGCATTCATATCTTAACATTAAATCTCAAGTGAATTACCATAAAGGTTAGATTAGGTACTTCTGCCCAAGGCCTGACGGCTGGTTTATTGAGTTGTGCCCATTTAACATTATGCATCTTTAGTGTAGATAAGATATTATGGCAAATAGTGTTTTTAATATGTTAAAAGAATACTTCAAATAAAATATTAATTAATTTATGTTATAATTTACTCACCCTAATGTCATTCTAAACTTGCATGACCTACTAAAAAAAAAAGGTATTTTGAAGAATGTTGGTAATCAAACCATTTTGATTACATTGACTTTTATTGTATGGTTAAAACCAGTTGACACATTCTTAAAAGTATCCTAATTTGTGTTCCATAGAAGAAAGAACGTCATACAGATTTGGAACGACATGAGGGTGTGTAAATTATGACAGAATTGTGTATATGACAGAATAGGACAGAACAGCGTACACAGAAATGTAATTTAGCATTTTTCTTAAGACTTCACAACCTATAATACTTAACACAATATAATCTCAGAATGAATAGTTTCAATTCACTCAGAATGGGCTGGTTCATTTGTGTCATTCATACAACTGGGCCATTTCGACATGGGGGGGGGGGGGGAGAGAGTGAATGACAGAATTTTCATTTTTATGTTGTTAATGTCAAGTATTGTCAAACAGGATTCATGATATCTAGATAGATCAGAATGATTGTGAAAGCATTAATCAACCTGCATTACCTGCCATGAGACGGCCCCTAGTATGATGGTGGACATCAGGCAGAAGAGCACCAGCCGTTCGGAGATGAGGCAGAAATGACGCATGCCCCTGGAGGCCATGATCCTGTCCAAATTTAGTGTTTGTGAGCGCTGGGCCGCCCACGTCTTCTGACACTCGCCTAGCTTGGTGTGGAAGCACCATAGCGTGATAAGGAACACCATGTGGCACAGGATCCACAAGAGACCAAAGACGAAGAAGCCAGGGATGACCAGGTACCAAACATCCAGGTTACCTAGCTTAAAGGCACAGAGCACAAAGAATGCCAGCTCAACAAATGCCAACGGGAACAGAGAAAATCTCCTCCACAGACTGCCGGCTGAGAGAAAATGCTTCCAGCGTTCTGTCGCCGACAAGCTGCTGAAGTACACGTCCAGAAGGGGCTCGCAGATAAGCCGGCCCAGGTAGCAGCTGAGCGCGAAGGGGTTTGCTTGGATCTCCAAGGACTTGAAGAAGGTAATAGCGGTGATCACAGCAAAACAGGCTAGATTAGGTAGAGCCAAGGGCGACTTCATGCGAAGGTCCACAATGAGGGCCGTTAAAGCGAACGTCAGAGCAATCATGGCCAGTGATTTGTGGAAAACCAAGCTGATGCTTGCGACACCAAATCCTAGGAGCTCTAAAAGCTCGGATGAGGTTAGAACAACTGGTTTATTCGTAGCGCTACTGCACAGACGTTCTGTTAGGGCCCAGAGCATCCGAACAGCCACGCTAGCGAGCAACAGGTAGTTTGTGACCTGCTCCTTTATGTCGTTCTCCAGAGACTGGCTGTTGAGGAAGCACAGGAGTCCCTGCAGGAAGCCGAACCACAGGTGGAAGAGACTTAAACTGGCTGACTCCATTGAAAAGTAGTAGTAGAGGATACAGGCTATGGCCGAAACGAACAAACCCAAGATGAAGATGACCATAATCACGGACTCTGCAGTCTGTTCCCATCGTACGTACATTCCCAAGCACACGGCTACCAGCAAGTTGAAGCTGGAGAGATACCCCAGACAACGGAGGGAGGACCACATGTCCACACCCTTGTCCGACGACTCTTGGCCTGACATTTTTGAGTATGATCACAGAGGATTAGGCCTCACTCCTCCAAGACTAGGAAAGATAATGTTGATGCATTCCACTAAAATCAATAATAGGACAAAGAGTTGATAGTCAGTGATGCAATTACAAAAACATCAAAAACACAATCATATAATTGAGATATTAATCAGGCATGTGAGCTCAGAAAACTGAATTATCATCTTGAAAATATGTCATTATATATATAAACTACTGTATAATCTGTATGTATGCAGAATATACTGTTTCTATTCAAATGCTAACTTTAAAAACAGCCCAACCCTGTGAAATATTCAATAACTGGAGTGGAAGGTGTGACAACTAGCCCCGGTCTCAGCTTCATATACATACATATATAAAGAGAGGAGATGAGATTTAAAGCACATGATGGTTGTGTAAAATTAAACGGTAACACGGTTTTTTGACAATGATGTATAGGCTACATAACAGATATATGTTGACCGATACTGTTCAATACAGGATTAGTAGACGTCTGATGTGAAACTGCCACATAAACAACATAGACCAGACACTCTCAACTGTATCACTGTAAACGCTCTGAAGGCATTCAAATATCGCGATAACACTTCAAAATAGGAGTACTAACAACTGACTTTTGTCATTCAATTCATCTTCGCTAAAAAATAACATATGAAAACTGATTCTTACATTTGTTTATGACAACGAGTTTTTGATTTCGCGATGTCCATGATGCTTCCGGACTCCAAACTACGGCAGCACAGACGGCTCAAACGCGAAGTGTAAAATATGCGCTGACTTTATGTTCTCCACTTCCATTGACATTGTGTTGGATGTATTCTCAGGTGTTGTTGTCATATACATAGTTAATTAGTCGGTTTGTTTATTGGATATACTATGTATAGGTCCGGTGCAAAAAATGTGCTGAATTGTGATTTATAACAAAGATAATGTAAAAGGCTTTCTGTTTATAACAAAGAAAATGTATTGCTGTATTGCTTATTGACTTTTTCCATGTACCAAAATTAAACTCATATAGCCTTACAGTTGATCTTATTATTAAAAAATAAATAAATACAACTTTGTAACCCACACAAAATAAAATGGTTCTGACCCTTGTGGGTTATAAAGTGTTTCTATCGGTGGGCTGAGAAACATAAAACAATGCATTATTATTTATGTATTTTTGCAGGTTTGCATACTTTCATGTTGGGCAAGCTTTAAGTTGTTCTAGTGCTGTGGATAAGATGCTTCAGTTATGATCATTTCTCATTTTTATGCCTGAAAATAAAATACTTAAAATCAAGCATTATAAAAATAAAAAAAAACCTCTATATAATAGAAAGCATAAATCTTTCTGTATGCTTTAAAAACACGCTGGCGTACTGTAATCAGGGAAGTCAAAGTAGGTGAAGCGGCTCGCTCCCGCTCTCTTTATGATCAGCCCCGAAAATGGAACCTCAGCGAAGTGTGGCATTTTCTCTCCAAGGTCCCTGCGTAGGTTGGAGCTCCCTGACTGGGTAAATACAAGGCAGGCTGCCTCCCACACAAACTTCTGCAAGCATGAAAAGAGAAAGAGAAAGAGAAAGAGAGAGAGAGAGAAGTTATGAGCTCCCATAGCTGTCTGCTACCTACATCAAGGAGGTCTTTAATACCTGCAGAAACCTATTCTCATTCATCTCAATGGCAGTTGCTCAGCTGGCGCATGACCCTGTTGAAAATGTAGGAATTGTAAATCAGGAATCTGCCATTTTTGAGAATGGCTCCATGCCAAAAAAAATACATAATATATGTAAGGGATAATCAACGGCTAACCGTGCATTAAAGGATTTTAATGCACCATGTGGAGGCAAAGAACCGCCCGACGTGAAGCGGATTATATATATATATATATATATATATATTGTATGTATAAATACAAACACATGCATGTACTGTATATATTTAAGTAAAAATGTTGTGTTTATATATTAAATATATTTATGTATAATATAAAAATAAGAATATAAATAGATAAATGTATATACATGTAAATATTTTTTAAAATATATACTCTATATGTGTGTATTTATATATACACATAATAAATATACACAGTACACATACATATATTATGTAAACAAAAACTTTTATTTTGGATGCGATTAATCGCGATTAATTGTTTGACAGCACTAATATATAGGCTATATATATATATATACTTAATTGATCCTCCTGCATGTTTATTGTAGTAACCTTTAAATACTTATTTAGAATTATTTTATGTCGATTTACCAAGCAAAACTGCTAATGCAAAACCCATTTAATGGTCTTTATCCGCATGGAGTAGGGGATTCCCATAATACTGGCAATATTTTATCATATGTTTTCAGCATTTATACTTATTTTAAAATCAGAATTAACAATTTCCAATTCGCGAATGAACAAACTCTTTTGAGTCGGTTCTTTGAAATGGATTAGCAGTGATTCAGTCTAAATCGTTCGAACAGCTAATTCACGCACTGAATCATTTGTCACTGCGTAAAACAGTACATTTACCGTAAAACAGGATTCTTTACACCAGGGGTGCCCAAACTCAGTCCTGGAGGGCCAGTGTCCTGCAGAGTTTAGATCCAACTTGCCTCAACCAACCTGCCGCGAAATTTCAAGTATGTCTAGTAAGAGCTTGATTTGCTGGTTCAGGTGTGTCTGATTGGGGTAGGAGCTAAACTCTTCAGGACGTCCGACCCTCCAGGACCGGGTTTGGGCACCCCTGCTTTACACAAACAGCGCTGGATTCAGTTTATATTTACCAACTGCCCATCGAAACCAAGCCTGTAAATGCATCCTGCTAAGAGGAAGGACTTTCTGAAGATGAACACCTGCAGCTCGTCTATTTCAGGTAAACATGTAGACATTTTTTTTTTTTTACCAAAACTGTCTCAAATAACCATCGCCATCTTATTTTGACACGTCTAAACACAGTCTTTCTATTGAGTTGTCCGGGAGAAACACGTAAAAACAAATAAACAGCAAACGAACAAGTAGTGACCAGCGTTCCTGATTCACGTATGAGCCCGATGTTCTGAAAATCTGACCCACCCTCAACAGCAGGGCTCCAGACAAAAAAAAAGCATATGTGTTTAAAGATTTGCCTTTTTTTATAAAAATTTTTTTTTTTAAAATTCTATTTTTAGATTTATTATGGATATTCTTATGTAACTGACTGAAATATGACTTTGTTATTTCAGTCAGTGCTTGCGATTTTTGTGTGCAAAATGCTTCAGACAGTAGGTTTACTGTCTGGAACTAGCATTAGACTGTAGCCGGCCGCCATACAGCCAAGTATGCAGCCCAAATTAATTTACAGTTCCTGGCGTTGGGATCAGATTCACCAAACTCCATCCTTCCATTCTTTCTGCCTTCCTTCCTTGTGCACAACCACCTTAATCTGACAAGCACAGCATCAGCAGCACGAGCGATCTGCTCGCAACAAATTTCATTCCCACAGAAATCAATATGATGTACTGAGGCTCATAAAGAGGCTGTTTGGAGAGGCAGCCACATCACAGCCTAAATCAAGAAGCATGTCAGGCTTCAAATGAAAAAGACAGGGATGGAGAATAAAGAGTCAAATCTTAGTGATGTATTTAAATTTATCGGCATTGCCTGTTGAATGCTAAAGCTATACCTCACAATACCCCCAAACTCATCCATCTCAATCAGTGTTGCAGGTCTTTGTCAGGAATTGGAGGTTTTGTCAATGTATAAAACCACAGTGTCTTTCCATAAATGATTCAAGCACTTCAGTTAGCACGTTACGCCATGTCATTTGAGACATTGTGTCTCATTCTGGTGTATTACATTTGAGCATTTCATTTAGCATGAATTAATCATGTCGCCCTGCAAATTTTCCCTGACAGAACCGAAAAGGAAAATCAACTTGAAGTAACAAAATGCAATTTCTGTTTCAGCCTACATAAGCTAAATATACACTTGGCTTGTCTATGGCTCCTGTACATTTAGGCACAGTGTGTTTTCTGAATAAAAGAGAAAGACAATCGTATCACGGTTGATCTTAAACATTAAAACGTTTCCTTTCATGCCGGTACCTCATACATCACCTTCATGTATAGCCAAAATGGCTTTTTAATAATCTGACCTGTTCAATACCGCTGAGCTGCAGAAATGATGCCGGGATCCATTAATCGAGGTGACTGCGAGGAAATTGCAATTCAACATTAATCTGTTTGTTGAAGCTAAAGCATGACGGGACTGCAGGCTATTGAATGGCCGTAATACGGCCATCACGGCCAATAGAGAGAATTATTAACATACTAACAAAAGAAGTCATTGGTCACCATATCCATGATCAAATGAATGAAATATTGATGAGATCTTCTGGTGAGAATGTATTACGGTCATACAGTAAGTCTCAGAATGGGATGAAACGTCCCATACGGTGATGTTTATTCGAACTGATCGGTGATCTTTCGCTTGATTAAGATTCAGAGGTTACATGCATGCATCTCTCTGTCTGAGCCATTACGTTCACTGATCAAAGATTGGAAGTTAATGAAATTGATCCCTTAGGATGAATCCCAGGCACAGATGCAGTTGTTCCTCTTGGCTCTAAATGTGAATCGTCAGATCAGTTAAGCTGAGTGAGCAGTTTGGCGTGTGATATTCCAGTCCGGGCGCTCGAGTGCACATCAGACAGATGGAGTGTAAAAGGGTGGCCAAATCACAGATGCCCCACGATGCCCTGTCAGTGACAGTGACTATGTAGGATTCAGGGTCAACCGATCCTTTCAATCAGATTATTGAATCTTCTGTTGTTCTACATTTTCAGAAAAAAGATGAAAAAGTTGTGACTGGGGTTGAATCACTTTCAAAAGCTACTAATATGTAAATTTTAAATACTAATATGCACCCTTTAGGGGTAAATAAAATACAAAAGTGTTCCTTTTTGAAAGGTACCTCTCTAGTGACCGCTTTTGTACCCTTTTTTATATATTGGAGATACAGTAAGGATGACATCTTGTTAGTTGTAAGTTTCATTTACATAGTCTCCTTGAGTTAAACTTGTTGCCTATTTTCAACAACCTTTTTATTGTATTTGTATTATATATTATATAGACAGTATTGTATGTAAATTAACAAGGGCCAGTGTCCTGCAGAGTTTAGATCCAACTTGCCTCAACCAACCTGCCGCGAAATTTCAAGTATGTCTAGTAAGAGCTTGATTTGCTGGTTCAGGTGTGTCTGATTGGGGTAGGAGCTAAACTCTTCAGGACGTCCGACCCTCCAGGACCGGGTTTGGGCACCCCTGCTTTACACAAACAGCGCTGGATTCAGTTTATATTTACCAACTGCCCATCGAAACCAAGCCTGTAAATGCATCCTGCTAAGAGGAAGGACTTTCTGAAGATGAACACCTGCAGCTCGTCTATTTCAGGTAAACATGTAGACATTTTTTTTTTTTTACCAAAACTGTCTCAAATAACCATCGCCATCTTATTTTGACACGTCTAAACACAGTCTTTCTATTGAGTTGTCCGGGGGATACACGTAAAAACAAATAAACAGCAAACGCGCAAGTAGTGACCAGCGTTCCTGATTCACGTATGAGCCCGATGTTCTGAAAATCTGACCCACCCTCAACAGCAGGGCTCCAGACAAAAAAAAATAACTTAAAGAGCCATTGGCTCCTGTAAGAAACCAAATTAGGCGCCACTTTTTCAAGTGTGCGCACATGATAATATAGACGTATAAAGAAAGAATGAAATAAAGAGGCATGGTCTCAGAGTGCATTAAAAGGTCATAGCCTTTTATAAATACACCCAATTAATCCACATTCACCTTTTTGAATGAAATATTGAGGTCATTCTTCACAAAATAGGCCATGTAATTCCGAAGGAACAAGATAAGTGCAACAAAGGGAAAGAGGGCTTTTTTTAATTAGCACTGACGGTTGAATGTATAATTGAGAGGTCTGAGCCTTTCAATGTGTTTGAGTGCTTCGCCAGTCACTCAAACACAAATAAGCATGCACATGTTAATAAAAAGATGTTGGACTATTGCAGGAGTCAATGCTTTCAGGACTTTCTGTGGGCTACACGACTCCATCCACCTTGTCCTCCTCCGCAGAGAAAAATAAGAGAGAAAAAACCTATGAACTATGCACACCTGTACACCTCCACACCACCTGGCAACCTGCATGTAGCATCACATTAAAAAGGGGCATATAAAATATAAATACCGCTCTTCCGTTCAACACCATGATTTGAAAAAAAGAGCAGCAAGCATCTTCAGTCAGGCTGATTGAATTTGATTTGAATGTTGATTAAACTTTTTCAAGAGAGGATAATTGATCGAATTAATTTTGTGTCCTGCTCGACCATGCACACAACGTATAAGCCAAATACTGCCGTGCTGAGGGAAAAAAGTGTGAAAAGTGTTTGTTTACCTATTATTGTATAGGTATAACATCTGGGATGGTCTGCTTTTTGGATGCTTGACTAGTTTAACAAGCAAGATCATGTTGGTTAAGCATTTTCAACTAATTTTGCTATT